TCTTCTCTCTTTATCTCTCTCTCACTTTTCTCTTCTCTTCTCTTCTCTTCTCTTTTCTTTTCTCTTTCTCCCTCTTTCTTCTCTCTTTATCTCTCTCTCACTTTTCTCTTCTCTTCTCTTCTCTTTTCTTTTCTCTTTCTCCCTCTTTCTTCTCTCTTTATCTCTCTCTCACTTTTCTCTTCTCTTCTCTTTTCTTTTCTCTTTCTCCCTCTTTCTTCTCTCTTTATCTCTCTCTCACTTTTCTCTCTCATTTTCTTCTCTTTTCTTTTCTCTTTCTCCCTCTTTCTTCTCTCTACGTCCTCTCACTCTTCTCTCTCTATTCTCTTTCTTCTCTCTTTATCTCTCTCTCACTTTTCTCTTCTCTTCTCTTTTCTTCTCCTCTTTTCTCTTCTTTTCTCTCTTCTCTTCTTTTCTCTTTTTTCTCTTGCCTTGTCCGATAGTGTGACGGTGTCTTACCACGTTTTTCATCCATCTGATTGTATACTTGACTTAATGGTAAATAAGAAGAAATTTTCCTCCAGCTGACTCCAATGGGGTGAGTAACTCATGTTTTTTTTCGAATATTTGCAAAACTACTTCCGCGAAAGTAAACGTGAATGTCTGATTTATGAATGAAAATCAAGTCCGTAGCTTTTGATATTCGTTGCTGAAAGTCGTCACATACATACGTCACATACGCCTTTTGTAAGATTAGTCCTGAACAAATAAACTAATCAATATCTTTCCCTTGATTGTTTGTCCTTAATGACAAAGAAAATGAAAATAACAGTAATTAGAAATACAAAGAACAACAAAAGAAAAATATAAAAAAATAATAGAAAACAAAACTATATAGGCGTGATTACACTAGCAATCTGGTCACGAGGGATTAGATGTCGCTACAAGGAAAAAATTAAAAGCTGATAAATTGATTATCCGTCATTATGATTGTAATTTGGATTGCAGGTGAGTGATGCTCACCCTAGTGTTTTTATTTTCTTTTAAATATGAAATAAATATTTCTCGATCCGGAGATGCTGCCCGATATTGTGAACGCTCGTCGCAACGAAGCTCATTCATAAAGAGTATATACTACCACTACCATTAAAAGTTAACACCTAGTGGGTTGATTTACCCTTGGGGTACAGAAATTTTCCTTTATGCATGAATCGAGGTTTTGATTTGATTGATTTCGGTTTAACATCACGAAACTCCCTTTTTGATCAAAGGCTAGGACGGGCCTTCCCCGTGAAAGGCAGGCAGGAATTGGCAGGTGGAGACCTTTACCCCGAGTGGATGCCCTTCCTAACCTCGGACCGTGGCCGGGATTCGAACCCGTGCGCTTGCGGACCCTCCAGCCCACAGCCGCGTGCGTTATGCATGAATCGAGGTAACTGTACAATTATTATTTATTAGTTGCTGAATGCAAGCATTTTTTTTTTTCTTTGGTGAAAACCGGATGGAGTTTAAACATTCAAATCTGAATAAAACAGAGAAGAATATTGTTATTATACATAATATGATTTATAAAACATTCTTTGGCCAGGATGTGAAAACTGTTCAAATGATGATAAATACTAACATTTTTCCTGACATTATTAAAAGGTTCATTTCAATAGGCTAATCGTAAAGTATTACCAAATATGTATTGGGAATAAACTAGCCTCTGTGTTTTATTGCTCAAGTGTTTCAGTAAATTAAAATATTGTTATACTGTTCGACAGGCTCACCTGATTAAGAATTCCAGAAACGGCAAAGTTCGCGAAGTCGTGACTAGGACCAAGTAGCTGGTATCCAAGTTATCCAACGCCTGTCTAACGACTGCGGCTATCTCTTCCATGGGGTTATAATGCTTACTCTTGCTGGGATTTTGCGCCTCGAAGGAAACACTGAGGGTAATTTGCGCAATTAAACTAAACATGAATGTTCCTGGTGACGGCTTCATTCTGTAAGGGCGAAAGACGGGAAAAGAAGACGGTGAGGCAACTCATCTATTTTTTTAAGAAAAAAAGAAAGAATATGTATACATATATCTACATATATTTATATGTATGTATATATTTATATATCGGCAAAAGGCGGATCCTAAGTTGAATGGTTAAAAAAATTAAGCAATCTGCGAACACACACACTCACGCAAATATGTGTTTATCTAAATATATACATACATAGTTATGTATAAGTACACAGATACACAGTAAAAAAAACACACACACAAACGTAAACACACACACACACACACACACACACACACACACACACACACACACACACACACACACACACACACACACACACACACACACACACACACTGCATCCGGAAGGTGGTGCTCCACACATCTGTCCCTGGCTGAACAAAGGCTGCGCCTTCCCGTCGCCGCCTCCTGAGTCCACCTTATCACAGGAAGCAGCCACTTCGCACCTTCCACTCCTGAGCCTGGTTTACCCAAGGACCTCCTAGGTGACCTACATGTCCCCCTCGAGCAAGCCCAGCGACTCACCCCCCTGTCACGGCCTGATAAACCTGACACTCCAGCCTGCGGAAGCAAGCGGCGCCCAGGATGTAGCCGCTGAATAAATGGGGAACATTCTCCATACCTCGGCAGAAGGAGCCCAGCTTGCATCCACTCACCTTGCAGCGAATAAAGCCGAAAGTCAAGGCCACTTTCATTAATTATCCGCCTTAAGTCCATCTCTTGTGTCGCTCACACACGCATATATATGACATAATAGATCTGCAACGTATAAAGTGAGAACTTTATACGTTTCATCAATTTGATCCAATCAAATATGAATTACTGGTATTTCGCACACTCAGACCGACATATTGCATAATAATAGTTATTGTGTCATTCCATGTAGAAGTTATTGTTGCTGCTTTATTACTCTTATTATCATTATTATTATCATTATTATCATTAGTTTTGTATATTATTATTATTATTATTATTATTATTATTATTATTATCATCATTGTTATTATCATTGTTATCATTATCATCGTTGTTATCATTATTCTCGCAATCATCGCTTTATATTTTTATTATTATCATTGCTATTATTACTATCATTATTTAACATCATTATTAATATCATTATTTAACATCATTATTAATATCATTATTTAACATCATTATTAATATCATTATCTAACATCATCATTAATATCATTATTAATATTGTCATTACCATAATTATGATTTTTATTATTATGATTTTTATTATCATTATCATCATTACTATTATTATTATTTTCATTACTGATAGTGTTATTTTAATTCTTATACTTATTATTATTATTATTATTATTATCGCCATTGCGACTACTAATTCTTGTAATATCATTATTAATATTATCATTATCATTACTAATATTATCATTATCATTATTATCATTATCATTATTGTTAGTACCATTATCATTATTATCATCATCATCATCATCATCATCATTATCATCATCATCATCATCATCATTATTATTATTATCATTGTCAATGTTATCATCATTACTTGATGATAACATCAAGTAACATCATCATTTTCATCATTATTATTTGTTTTTTTTATCATTTACATTAACAATAGTGAGAATACTACTACTGTTAATTATATATTCTTTATAACAGCCATAACATTAATAATGGTATTGATAGCAAAATAAAGTGTGTAAAGCATGACTGTAACGGTGAACACTGATTTTAAGGTTTTCATGTGTAGATAATGTTAAGATGGGTTTGCAGAGGTTTACGGATAACTGCATATCTCATGAAGTCCTGTACGAGTTGACCATACTTTAACATGTATGTAAAATAGATGAAACACTGCGTTCCCGCTGTGGCTTCATTACTTATGCATGTTGTAGATTGGGGACGTCACAGGGTTTGCGGAGGTGGGAAAGTCACGCGAGGCAGGCTGGGAAGTTCGTTTTATAGTGTCCGAAGTTCTGCACAAGCATGCTATTAGGGATGATAATACGTAGGTACATAAAAAGGCACGCCAGTCATTTGAACAATGTATTATTGCTTTTCGAAGTATAGCAGGTGCTGGCGAAGATTGTATCGTATTTTACATTACGGATGCCGTGAATGAGAGTCTAGTAGTTGCACGTAATAATAATAATAATAGCAATGGTAATAATCATAGTAAAATATTAAAGATAACGGCAGTAATACTAATATTTATGTGATGATAATAATGTGGATAATGTTTGTTCACTATGGTGTGATCAATATTATCTCCTTCAAAACTGAAATAACAACATCAGCAATCATAATATCGTAAATAATATCAGCTATAACAATAATGTTAAGAATTCTCAATGCCACCATTCAAGTCATTCTGAATTGTTCTGCTATTCCATAAATGTTGTCAAATCTTCTATAATAGTGACATTTACGCTGCGGAAATATATTGGACAACTGTTCTCATGAAGTTTTGACGTCAGAATTTTAAAAACTATTTCCCTTTTGACAAGCAAATTGCATAGTTGAAGTCGTCATTTTGATATACAAACACACAGTGTTGACACTTCGCTGAAATTCAATTCCCACGAATTTTACCTGTTTCCTCTATACTGCCATGCGTTGTTTGAAATGACCATACATGCTGAACCATAATTGTTTCTTGTTTATTGGTGTAATGAAAATAATATAATCTAGAGAAGGCTTTTCTTTTTATATCCAAATCAGGTTATATGGTAGATGCTAATATACTTTTAGTGCAGGGATATGCACTTTGCAAATGAAATCGTAAGTTCCTGTACGTATTATTAAACTTCAAAGTACAATATAGACTCCGTAGATAATAGTTGCTCTTTATTTGATTTAGCACACGCACCAAAAAAAAAAAAAAAAAAAAAAAAAAACATTATATATACATAATATACCTAAAAATTTCACTCGTGACGAGATTATAATTAGTATTTGAAGATTAGTTTTTTCTTACTACAAATTTATATCTAAAACGTAACTTATCTGTACCTTCAACACATTGGGCTAAACTTCAATACTGCACGGGATATATACGGAAGTAAGAATCCGTTTAATTGTTTTCACTGGTAACTATTCTTTACTACTGAGTCTGGAGTCCAAGTCCCAGATGATGTGCTGTCCCTGGCAATACCTTCTTTGCGCGCATTATCTGAAGTTAATGAACCCAAACCTTGGTGGCACATTGAATAATAAAAACTACAGATGCCAGCCACGAATGGACATGCCAGAGCAATATTTCTCAGTCACTGTACTATTAAAGACGATTATCAAAAACAAAAATCATAAAACAGCATTAAACTTTCCACCCCTGTAGGAATATTTTTCCACGCAAATTTCTGGGAAATTTCCAGGAAGTGACAAGACTAACACACAAACATGTATATGCTCTCTGGGTATATGTCTATATAACTTCTGTTTGCCCATCTATCTACGTACTTACCTACCTTCCTATTTACTTACATGCTTACCAACCTATCTTCCTGTCTGACTAGTTAACTACCTAGCAGTCTAACTACCTGTATTTCTACACATGTACAAACACAAAGGCTACACGCACACACTGCGTATACATAAAATTACTACTACTATTACTATTGCTGTTACTACTACTTTTACCGTTGCTACTACTACTACTACTGCTAAAATTATTATCATAACCATTATTATAATCATTACCATCATCATTGTTCTTATATTATAACTGTGCTGAGCGCTCTGTGGCATATTTATTAGATACTATCGGCGTTAATTAATTTTCACGTTGACTCTTCCTCTCCTTCTTATGCATTTTGCCCATCTATCCATTACCTGTTTGCAAGGAAAACCATTTTTGTGTCTGATTCGGTATGTGTCACCCATATACCCTTATGATATGCTTCTCTTTACGTAAATGTAGTTCTCTTTTATATGAAGTTTCAAGTACCTATCTGGGTTCCATTATGGTGATGCGTTTTTTTTTCTTTCCAATCTGTGCTCGAATGTGCATGTGTTTGTGTGTCTTCCATGTCTTTTATCGAAATGTTGCGTCCGTCTCATTAACGTTTGATTGTTGATAGTGTTCATTCACTGAATTACAACACATTAAAGTTAGATTAATGTTATTCCGTTGTTATTGTCATTCTAGCTTACTCGTGCCCAAGAAGGCAGTCAAATGTTGTTGTTTTTTAAAGATCATGTGAAATATCGTAAAACATAATGCTATGAACATACAGAGTTTTTATGGCAAAACTAAAACGTTATCACTGCGATTTTATTCAGCCACTTAGTAATTTCAATCAAAATTTAAATATCATCATAAAGGTTATACTTTTATAGGAGACTCGTAACCATTACCAACAGCTGTAGTTTATAGCAAATTCAGTATTGCTGACGTTAAAATCAAATTTATTGCCATTGCTGGACAATTTGATTAATGCTTGTCTGTAATGATAAGAAAGACTGTGATGTTTACTGCATTTCTCCCACCCACTTTCTCTCTCTCTCTCTCTCTCTCTCTCTCTCTCTCTCTCTCTCTCTCTCTCTCTCTCTCTCTCTCTCTCTCTCTCTCTCTCTCTCTCTCACTTATTCACTTACTCCCCCCTTTCTCTCCATTAAAATCGAAACACTGGAGGCTGCGAAGCGAGGTTGCCTCATCTTGACCAGACCTGGGCTGTGGATAATTAGCTCATATTGGGGTGATGGATTTTCTAAGTGTCACTGTTATACTGCTTCGATTGAGTGTGCTTATGTAGGTGATATAGGCATACTGTGCTAGAAATGGTAATCTGTTCGTAATAATAATCACACTTTATGGACAAGCATCCAATGTAGAAGTCAGTATAAGAATCTAACCAACATTATGTAGTAAAAATTAAACCATTTTTACCAATATCATACGAAAGTTCATTTTTAAATGAATTATTAATATATGTCTACATGAGTTATGAGTGTTAAATATACTTTCCGACTCACATCATCGTACCATCCCCATATACATACATATGTGTATATATATATATATATATATATATATATATATATATATATATATATATATATATATATATATATATATATGTACATATATATATATATATATATATATATATATATATATATATATATATATATATATATATATATATGTATATACATATATATATATATATATATATATATATATATATATATATATATATATATATATGTGTGTGTGTGTGTGTGTGTGTGTGTGTGTGTGTGTGTGTGTGTGTGTGTGTGTGTGTATACATACAAATATATGCACACACACACATATATATATATATATATATATATATATATATATATATATATATATATATATATATATATATATATTGAGAGCGAGAGCGTAATGCACACAAAAACATAAAAATATGTACAAGAATAAACACACACACACACACACACACACACACACACACACACACACACACACACATATATATATATATATATATATATATATATATATATATATATATATATGTATATATATATATATATATATATATATATATATATACATATATATATATATATATATATATATATATATATATATATATATATAAACATACATGCATATATTTATATATATATCTATATATCTATCTATCTATATATATCTATCTATCTATCTATCTATCTATCTATCTATCTATCTATATATATATAT